CAAAATTCTCACACACCACAAATCTCTCAAGTCCCTTCAACACTTGTGAAATCAAAAACCCAGAATCCTATTGTCACCTCCTTCGATTCTGAAGAACAACCACCCTTCAGTCTCTTTCGAATCTAGCGGAAAGAAGCATCACACTTGCTTTCTTTCCTCCTTTGAATTCAGCATCCAAGGCTTTATTTCAGGCCCCCTCTTTCGAATCCAGCACCCAGGGCCTCCACTCAAGGTCCCACGCCCATTCAAGGCTGTAGCAAGGTAAGTTACTCTTACCCTTGCATCCTTCATTTCAATCATAGCATGTATATAATATTTTGCCTCCCTTTCATTTACACCCTTTGAATCTATTTTCTGGCTAATCTTTTTGTTCCTTGTTGCTTGAGTTCATTAAATATACTTTGATATTTAGTTTGGCCACAAGAAAAAGGTTAACATGGCCTTAGGCCATGTTGCCATTTTATGTCCCAAACGAAAGAGACGGAGGAAAAGGAATATAAAACGAAACCTTGGACTTCAATGCTAACTTCTAGGCCCAGCCAAAACACATGCTCATGATGACTTCCAAGCCCCAGAAAGCCATAATCGAAGGCCATGACTCATTGATTCCAGGCCCAATCGAAGAAGGTAACCAGACAACTAGGCAGAACCAGAAGCCACGCCTTGCTGCTGCCATGGCCAATCGAAGTCCATGACTTACTGCATGTTAGCCCCCAATCGAAGAAGGCCAACAGAAGAAGAATCGAAGGCTGCTTCCCAATCGAAAGAGCTCTTTTTTTCTTCTTTTTATCTTATTTTTGCCTTCATATTTCTATGCACTTCAATATGGTTGTAATAGTGTAGGATTTATTTGTTGCACTTTTTATTGCTTTTGTACATATGCTAGTAATTAGGTGTGTATGGCAAGATAAAACCAACAAGTAGACAATCCAAAAAATCAAAGACAAATTGCATGAAATCAAATACACTTTCTCACATGTACCCTTAGGGTAATTCCACTTGTTTCCTTATAAAAATGGTCATATTATGCATGTGGGATATCTTAGCAAAAACAATCACAAATACAAGATCATAGTCCCTCGATGACGCTACAAATGTTGCCTTACAAATGATCTTAGTCCCTCAAAGAGAAATGCTAAGATATTTCACAACATTGCTATCATGACTATACGATGACCCACGCCCGTCCCTTTACATCCAAAGGTAAGACTTCTTACCAAATCAATGGTAAGATAGCAATATCAAAGAAAAGGAAGAAATGAACTAAGACTTTTGAGTAGGTATATTGTTCCTAGTTTCTTGCTCATTTTCAAATCAAACAATCTTACTTATTTTCAAAAACAAACACCAACACTTTCAAAACACTTTCAAAATCCTTTCCAAACATAAAATATTTTCAAAAGCTCAACACTTTGTATATGTTCTTACGAACGAGAACTATTACAAAGTTTTCCTAAAACGATGACGCCTTTTCAAAATACATTCAAAAAATCACACAAAGCACATTTTCAAACAAAAGCAAGTGATATAGCAAGCAACTAAGAGCCCATAGATAACTATGGATGAAAAGGGTGCTAATACCTTCCCTTTTCATAATCTATCCCCCGAACTCAGAAATAATCTCAAAGGTCTTTCCTGTTCTTTTCAGCCTTTCTTTTTGGATAAAAGAAAAGTCAATGGTGACTCTTGCTAACCGCAACATTTGCGATCAAACGCAAAACACCCAAGTCAGTTCTCCCACTGTATCACAGAAGCGTAGGATTGATTATGGATCTTGCAGGGAATCTTGATAAGGTTATATCAAGTGAAGGTTCTTACAAGAAGAAGAAGATCTCAGTGATTACATTCTGTCTTTGTATTGTAACATTGTAAACAACATTCAACAAATTGATATAATAGTTCTCAATTTCAGTTTTGGAATTGAGAGGGAGACGTACCCACATGTGAGGACGACAGTGGGGAACTTCCTTACCAAACTGCCCGTGTATTATTTTTCTTTCTCTCTTTCTCTTTACGTTTTCTACAATTTTGTGATTCAATTGGTTTGTTGGTTTTTCTATTTAATGATACAATAGTGGTACAAACTCTTTTGCTAAAACCACCATTATTGTTGATCATCGAACAAGCATACACCAACTGTTCGACAAAATTGCGTGCAAGTTTTTGTTTATTTGAAATAGCATTCTTCTGATAAGTGCATTGAAACATACATCAATCTGTGTTTAATTTTCATCTTAATAAAATCCAGTAAGTTTATCGTATGTCCGGTTTTCTAGTAGTTGGTTCAAAATAGACGAAAGTTGATTTAGGATCGTGTTTTTCTACTCTTTTTAATAAACTTTGATAAAATATTATAAATCCTTGATAAATAAGGAGGTGATCTATTCACCCTCCCTCTCGATCACTTGCCAAACCGTCTAACAAATTATAAATCTTTCTTTGAGTACCATACTATTTCATTTTGGTAATTAATTAATTTTTTATAAAATAGTCCAGATATCGTTCGAACACTCCTTTGGTTCTTAACGGATGTTAAATGTTTGGTCTTGTTGGTCGAATATGGATGTTAGTTATAGTGGTTGACAATGGATATAAATGGGAGAAGTTGATATGAGTTCATAACTTCCTCTGGCATGTCTGTTGCATTTGTCTTGATATTTATTCTTCAGATAACTGTTTGAATTGCAAGAATTGTTGGAAAACTGAAGTGTTTTGTGAACCTCTACTTAGGCCAGCCATGAAGCAAATGTTTTGAATCTAACTTCTATACGTGGTCTGCAATAAATTGTAATATCATTGTTCTGAAAAGCATTGCCCTGTACAGCCATATCAATGTTCATTTTGTGAACTGATAATTGTCATTGTTTAGGAATGTAGTTGTTATATGATATGATTTGCGTTGTTTCAAATGTCGATTCATATTGTTACTTGCTGTCATGTAATTGCAGGTCGTCACAACAGCTCAATTAAATGAAACTGATAAAAATCTCACAGCCTTTATGTAGGAGGTTGACCTTTATTATTGTTGAGATATGCACTGATTTAATTCTTTTTCTGGTTAGTCTATAATAAATCAGCTGTGTTTTCTATGAATTCTGAGAACATGCATTTCTTCAGTCAAGTGTTAGTCTATAATAAATCAGCGAGAACTCAAATGAACTCTATCTGTTGGAAAATTGTTAAGTATTAGAAATCAAAAAATAATTACCTTTCAAGTTTGGCAGTCAGTTTTCTTTTTCTATTATTAAACTCACACATTAACAGTCCTGCAGGAATAAATAATTACTTACATGGATATGTTCATATGCCTTCAGTCAAGGCTTCTGATTTAAAAGAAAATAAAAAACAGGTTTAGCCTAACATGTTAAGACCATGTTAATGGGGCTGTTCATGTTGCATGGTAATTCATGTTGATACATCTCAAGACAAATTGGACATTTTGTGTGGTAATATGACAGTCACTTTGAATTCGAAGTTGTTATACTACTAACTTTATACTATTTAAAGTATCATATTTTTAAAATATGATAAAATGTTAACATCTATATTAAAAAATTAATACAAATATTTGTTTTTATTAAAAATCATGAAATAGTTAAGATTGGTGAATATATAAATTTCTTATGATAACATAAATTTTTTATTTTTTTTATATTTTATTTATATTTTTAACCGTCAATATATTATAAAAAAAAATTTATGTAACTATTGCTAATAAAGATATTTTATAATAAAATTATAATTTTATTATAATTTTATTTATAAATTATAAATAGTTCTAAAATATTACTTAGAAAAAGTTTAACCCATGACTCGTAAGGATGTAAATACTAGTTTATTTTAAGAAAAATTAAAGAGGTATAAAGAGGTATACTTTAAGTACCATCATTAACGAAAAATTATTAGCGAAGTTTTATATAGATAGTTTAAGATATGGAAAGGCATCAATGAAAACTATTTTGATTGTATCATAGTCACTTTGTTTCAGCTTTGAAAAAATAAACTTTTTTTAAAAATAAATTTTATAAAACAGTTTTTTAAAATATTATAAAATTTTTATATTTGTTTTTAAATTTAAGCATTAAATTTGAAATCTTATAACATAAACCTACGTTATTGAAGACAAAAATAAAATTAAAATTGTAATTTTAAAAAAAAATTATATTTTAAAATTAATTTTTATAAAAATTTATTTGAAATAGCTTTAAAATTAAGTAATTTTCTAAATTTTTTATATTCAAAAAAAGTTTCAATAAGAAAATGAAATACTTAAAATAACATTTTAAAAATACCTATTCAAATCAAATTTTTATTTGAAGTTTTTATAAAAAAAAAAAATTTATAAAATTTTTTTTAGATAAAATTATGTAACACTATAAAAATTATTTTAAAAAAAAAACAACACAAAACCAACAGACCCTTATTCTGTTGTGAAAAATCTAATGCTTAAGACTCAAGACACCATAAAATATGATGTGTGAAAAAAAAACACTGACAAAAAATAGAAAAAGAATCTCAACAAACAATAATCTACTAACTAAATGTATATAAATCACACACTAAGAAGGACAAGATAAAATAAGAGAATAAACACACATACATTATTTCTCCATTTCATAGAAAAAAATCTATTATGAAAAGAGAAACTTTACGATCCTCTCCCCATTAAAATTCTCACCAGAAATTACTAAAGGGTTATTAGAAATTAGCTCACCGAATTTATATTGTTTCTAATTGTCAAAGTGCATTTGTGCCAGATAGACAAATGCTTGACGGTGTATTGGTGGTGAATGAAATGGTGGATTTTGTAAATAAGGAAGGTAATATTTGTCTTCTCTTTAAAGTCAATTTTGGAAAAGCTTACGATGATGTGAGTTAGGGATTTCTTAGATATATGATTAGGAGGATGGGGTTTGGCGAGATTTGAATGAGTTGAATGGAGGCGATGATCTTCACTAGTAAGATGTCGGTGTTAGTAAACGGGAGCCCAACCAAGAAGTTTACAGCCGAGAAGGGATTGAGGCAGGGCGATTGGTTAGGAAAGCCGTGGGAATTGGAGATTTTGTTGGTTTTAATATTAATGGTAAATATATCGTCGATATCCTCTGTCTCCTCTTCTTGGGTTTTTTAGTGTTGTTATCTTTAGGTACACCAGAACTAGATGCTGCATGTGGCACAGAATGCACAATCTTCTTCTTCTTCTTCTTCTTCTTCTTCTTCTTCTTCTTCTTCTTCTTCTTCTTCCTCTTCTTCTTCTTCTTCATCATCTTCTTGCCTTTACTCTTCTCACTTTTCTCTCCCTCCTCATCCTTGTTTTCTTTTTCATCTTCCTCCTCAAGTTCTCCCAATATGTGATATAGAAAAACGGCTACTTCCATGTCATTACCATAGCTTCAATTATTGATTTTCTTCTGCCACTCAAACAAATCTTTTAAAAACTTATAGAAATCTCGTTGGTCCTTCTGCATCTGCAACAATACTCTTAACAACACATAGTCAGATTTAAAGTTGGTTTCTTCATCTTTTTCCCTGACTGACCTTATGTTACCTCTTTCTTCCTTTTGGCTTCATCAAAGTTTGGATTGTAGCCTTGTCAACAGCACCATGAGGGTGACACACTTCATCAACGGTATTTTAAGGAACACCATACCTTTTATTGAAGGTTGTAATCTGAAGATGTGAAAAACATAAGAAAGGGGGTTGAATTGTAAATCTTAAATCAAAGGTGCAGACAACACGGTATTTTTATCCTGGTTCGTTTGATCTCAAACTACTCCAGTCCACCCGTCAAGGTGATTTCGCCTCTCTCCAACGAGATCTTAATCCACTATATTCAACTGAATACAACAACTACTTTAACAACTGTTAAAGCCTTCTTGAGTCTAACCACAGACCGGTTTATCTCAAGGAAATTCTCTTACAAATAAATGAACAAAAGTGTGTTTGATGTTTTCTAACAAAACTATATATCACAACTGTGATAATACACAATATTAAGCTTAGAATAAAACTGGGTTGCTAATGCTTTTGAGTAGGCGTGGTTGAAAGCTTTAGCAAATTGTATGAATGAGTTTGTTTACGTAGGCGTGTATGCGTGAAGATGATTAGCCACTTCTTTTCTCACACCGTCTTGTTTAAATAGCCAAGGAAGAGATACGTTGGTTGTCTATAAATCCATTTCAATGATAATAACGTTCTTTCCTTTTTGAGAAGATCTTGTCTTGGATAAAGCCGTTGGTAATTAATCTGTCTTTGAATGCTTAGTAACGTTGACACTTCAGAGTGTTCTTTCCTTTATGCTGACGCTTCTGAGTGCTGATGACTTGGTAAGTATCTTGATCAGAGTCAGAGTATTTTATGTGCAGATTCTGGTCATCAGGCTTTAGCGTATGGCACATGTTATTTGATCTTCTGATGCTGACATATCTTCTGATGCTGATGTTGATACTGATATTCTGATGCTGATTCCATCAGAGTTTCTGTAAATACACAACATAATTTTAAGTAGCATATATGTCTTATATAAATCTTACAATTTATTTAATTTTGTATTTTGTTATCATCAAAACTCTAACTGAGGGTTGTAGAATCAAACTATGTTCTAACAATCTCCCCCTTTTTGATGATGACAAAAACCAGATTTTTTTCAATTAAAATTAAAGAATAAAACGTATCAGAGATAAACAAATAACGAATAAAAGGTATCAGAGATAAGATAAGGAATAAAAGGTATCAGAGAAACGAAGAGAGAAAACTCCCCCTGTGTTGATTACTTCCCTTTAATTCCATGAGACCTTGAGCATCAGAACTTTACTTTATCAGAGTTCATCAGATTCATCAGATTCTTGTACCTGTAAGCTTTTCAGAAGAAAGAAATTCAAATATATCAGAATGTTAGAATGTTTGAGACTTATGTCTCAGTAATCCGTTATTGAAAAATATCATTCTTTCTCCCCCTTTTTGTCAGTTATCAAAAAGCACAAATAATCAGAGTTAAAATGATCAGAGCTAAAAAAGCATTTATATTAAAAACAGAAGCAATGATAAGTTCAGAACACGTAAAATATTACAGAAAAACATGTAAAGAAAACAAGGAAAACACAAGAAAATTCTAAGAGGGAGGTGGAAGACGTGTGAACAGAGCTTCCAACATGCTCTTGATTTGATTGCTGGTTTCCTGTTGCTGAGATACCATGTTTTCTATAGCATCAATTTTGATGTCCTGCTTATCCATTCTTTCATTCATCAGCATATCAGATCTTTTCAAGTCCTCCAGAGTCTGCCTGTCAAGAGAGGAAGCTTGAGGATCTTCAGAAACAAGGTGCTTCTTAGAGCTTTCTTCAATATCTTCTTCTTGAACCTGTTCTTCAGCTTGAATCATCTGTTCTTCTGACTCTGGTTGATGATATTCAGACCAAGGAGCATTGTCCAGCGGGAGTACTTCTTCTTTAAGCAGCTTGCTCAGAACTGGACCTTCAATCTCTTTCAGCAGATTGCTGAAGTTCTGTTGAGCCTGTCCATAGCTCTGGTCTTGCAACTTAAAGGTTTCAGCGCATACCCATCTTCTGAATTTTGTCCAGAGGAGGTCTGATACAGCAGGATCAACCAGTTCCAGACTTGCTTGTTTCAGAGAAGTGATCCACTTATGTATATCTGTTTCAAAGTTCAATATGTTGGAACCAACATTTGGATGTTTTGGTTTAGGGATAACAATTTTGTGGTTGATTGCAGCAAGGAGTTTCAAAGACTATTAAATCAATGACAGTCTTGCTGTGGTCTTCTGACTTGGCTTTTGGTGAGGGAGTGGGAGAGTCAGGAATTATGATTGGACTTGATGGGGAATTTGGTGGAGTTATTTCTGGTGAAGAGGGAAGTTGAGGAATATTCACAGTGGTACCACAGGGCAATTGAATGGCCAAAGGTTGTGGTTCAGGGGATTCAGAGGGTTGAGCCTCAGAGGTTTGATTCTCAGGTTGTGGAGATTGTTCATGTTGAGGAGATGGTGGATTAATATCTGGTTGAGGAGATGAAGGTAGTGGGATTTCTGGTTCTGGAGAGAGTGGAATTTCTGGTATTGGTGAGAGGGGAGTTTCAGGTTGAGCTTCTGTGTTTGGATTTGGATTTGGATTTTCTGTTTCGGGAGCGGAAGAGTGTTGGTCTATATCAGAAAGAACTTGTGCAAGTTCTTGTTTTGGTATGGCTTCAGTATTTGGATTTTGTGGTTGGGGGCGAGATCTTCTGAGGGTTAATGATTCAGAAGGGTCAAAGTCAAGGTTAAAATCATCGAAAGTTTGAGGTGTTGGGTTTTTAGATGGAGTTGGAATTGGAATAGATGTTGATACAACAGTTGAATCTAAAACAGTGACAAAAGAAGGATTACCTCTCTTCTTAGGAGTCTGTTGAGATGATCCTTCTGCAGCAACTTTTATTTTCTTTGTCTTCTTCAAAACAACCTCTGGAGCCTTCTGCTAAAGATCTTGAATATTCAGATTTGGTGTTGTACCATCAGCTTTACACGCATCCAAATATCTCAGAATGATTTCTGGCTTAGAGTCAATTTCTAAGAACAAAGGGAAGTTGTCCAGAGGGACTCTTCTGCTGGAGATTTCAGCAAAAGGAGTGACGCTGGGCTCCTTCTTAATGTTCTCTATCAACTTCATTTTCTTCAGATTTTTGGCATTCAGCTGCTTGCCAACAGAAGGTTCCAGAGTGCTGATTTCTTGTGCCTCTTGCAGATGATCAATCAGCCTATTCTCTGTAAGAATATCTGATATCAGTCTTCCCAAGGGTATCCAATCCCTTTTTGTACATTCCTCTTCTCTTGTTTCTTTGACACTTGTTCTGAGATGGTTGAACAGAAGATGAGCCAGATTTATCTTGACCTTCTGAGAGATAAAATAGATCAGAAACTGCTGATCATTGTTTATGTAATTAGGAGAGCTGGTAGGCTTCCTGTGGTTGAAACAACCCAGAATGATCTTTGCCCAAATTCTGTGTTTGTCCTTTAAATCCCTTATCTTACTGGAGGGAAGCCCCAGCGTGAAAATTTCCCTTGCAATTAGGGCAGCATCTGCACACCTTTCTGCCATATCAATGCAACGAATACCACCACCATTGTACCCTATGAGTCTTGTAATCAGGTCTTCAGTGATAACAATCTTCTTCCCCATGATGTAAGACGTAACTTGATGATTTGAAGAAGAAGCGTGAATCCAAAATTCCTTTACCAGAATAGGAAATGTTGGACCCACCAGTCTGTCAAAATACTTTTCCCAACCTTGAGCTTTAACCTCTTCAGATAAATCAAAACCATTCTCCTTGAGACTGTTGAAATCCACTATTAATTCTGACATAACTTCAAGATTCTTGATTGGAGTTAGAAGCATTCTGAATGGTACTTCATATTGTTCAGATGAAGCATTTTTCTGGGAACCTGAAGAAGGAATGCTGGAAGAAGCCATGTTCACACGAGGTTTTTTTTGAAAAAGATTGAAAGGTTTTCTTGAGAAAGTAAGAATACTGAAATCAGAAATATTCAGAGAAAATGAAGGTGAAGGTAAAACGTGTAAATGGTGTGAAGTGTGTTTAAATAGATTTCTAAAAAGGTTTTGAAAACATAAACGTTAAGAGAGAGAAATTAATAATGATTATTAGCATTTAATGATAGCTGATTTTAGGGGATTCAGAAAGATATTTGGAATGGTTACCCATGACATGTGTCTCAATGCGTCCAATCAGCGCTTTGCCTTTTCAGAAACGTGAACGCGTCTTCAGCCTCAGAAAATGGATGATAACTGGATGACACTTGTTTGCTTGAGTGAACAACACATTTCCATCCTTGAAATGAAGCGCTCAGATCTTCATGGATAGATTCTGATACAATCTGCACTTCTAAAATTATGAAGGAAGATTGATCAGTAGTTCACAGAAAATAAACAAAGTTCTGAAGGTTAATATATAAAATTAAAACAATTTCATTCTGGGCAGAGCTTCATGCTGAGATGTTTCAGAATGAAGTTGAACCTATCTTCAGAAAGTGGTTTTATGAAAATATCAGCCCATTGATGGTCTGTGTTAATAAATTTTAAATTTAAAATCCCTTTCTGAATATAGTCCCTAATAAAATGATGTTTTATTTCTATATGCTTAGCCCTAGAATGTAAAATTGGATTTTTACTTAAGCAAATAGCAGAAGTGTTGTCACAGAGGATAAGAATGTTACTCTCAAAAATCTGGAAGTCCTCAAGTTGACTTTTCATCCAGAGCATTTGTGTGCTGCATCCAGCTGCTACTATGTATTCAGCTTCTGCTGTTGATAGCGCAATTGTGGATTGTCTTTTGCTGGACCATGAGATCAGATTTTCTCCCAGAAACTGGC